GTCAGAAATATATTGGATATGCAAAAACAAGGTATTTTTTTATTTCTTATTTCTTTACACCAATTGATTCATCTTTTTGGTCTCTGTATTAAAGTATTAAAGTATGGTAACTTAAAAAATTAATAAATAGTTTACGAGATATTCTTATCTTACAAAGATAAAATGATAGATTAAAATGTGACAACCTGTATGTTTTTTGTGCAAATACTTAAGGATCATCAATTAAGGTATTAAAAGTTTGTATAAATATTAATATTTGTAATTTACTTGAAAAACAATTGAAGGTAACTTGTTAAACAAAATTGTTATTTAGAAGCACTAACCAATAACATCTTATAAACACATATAATAAGAGATCTTGAATGATTTTTATATTTAATTTTTACATTTTGATACTGTTTTTTACATTATACAATTTTTAAAGTGATAATATTTCAAGATTTAATACATTTTTATAATAATGAGATTGAACAAATATAAAAAAAGTTTTGATACTTACCTTTAAAGTCTTTACTAAATGGGTAAATTTTGTAGTATTTATAATCTGATAATATTATATAATGTGTATGTAGTGGCAGACAATATTAAAATTATAATAATCGTTATGTGCAGGAATTTTCCAAAGTTGTTTGAAAAAGGGTAAAGATGATACGAATTTATCTAGCGGTAAGCTTAACATATCAAACGCATCATCGTTCAACAGTAACAAATGTAAAGAATTTGATTTAGCGAGTTATCCTAGATTTTCTAAAAGGATCTCGGTGAGAGTTGTGCTTAATAGTACAAACACTAAGTATGAAATCAAAGACACTCCATTTCTTGAGGCATTTGGAATAACTGCAGAAAAATTTTCAAACTCGAAATTATCATGTAAGTACTTTTAATCACATATTGCTGTGCACAGTTTACTCGTTTTACGGCACTACATATTACACAGAATTTTATATTAATAATTAGTACAAATTAAATAAATATTTACAGACCGGGAAAAATCATTGATACATAACAATCAAATTATCAGTAATCATTCCAGTACTGCAAGGGATGTTGTTTTACAGAGATGTTCACAAAACTGTTATATTCCTTTTGAAGATTGTTTTCCAGATTTGTACGCAGATCTTAATATATATTTATACAAATTTTGTTTTAATTAATATAAATATATATAAATTGTAACATTTATTATTCTGTTTTTATTGATAGGTATTTGAAACATTGCCATAAAATAGGTGAAGGTGTTTATGGAGAAGTTTTTCTTCATGAATGTGAGGGTAAAAAATCTGTTATAAAAATTATTCCTATAGAAAGTGAACAGTTAGTCAATGGTGAACCACAAAAGAAATTTAATGAAATATTGTCAGAAATTGTGATTGCAAAGTGAGTCAATTAATCAATTGTATGCACATATTGGTGACATTATTGACAAAAATCATGAAAGAAGATATTTACAGGGAATTGGATAATCTAAAATTAAATGATACCTATAAAACTAATGGATTTGTAGAAGTTAAAAATATCAGCTGTATTACAGGAAAATATCCAGAGAAGCTCTTAGAACTTTGGAATATTTATGACAATGAGAAAACGTCCGATAATGATTCTCCATCGATGTTTGATGAAAATCAATTGTATATTGTTTTTGAACTGAGTCACGGTGGGGAAGATCTTGAAGCCTTTTTATTTCAAACTGCGGAGGAGGCTTGCGCTCTATTTTTACAGGTTAATTGTTTATATCATCGATATATCAAATGACAATGTTTGATGAATTATTAGTCCATCATTGTTCATAAATTTTTGTATTTTATAGACTGCATTGGCCTTAGCAGTTGCGGAAAAAGCACTTGAATTTGAACACAGAGATTTGCATTGGGGTAATGTATTAATATCAAGAACAAAAGAACAATATATATATTATAATCTCGGAGGGAGAGAGATCAAGTTTCCTAGTAAAGGTGTAAAGGTTTGTTCTACGAAAAATATTTTAAATACTGTTGCAACTTTTTTTTATAATCCTATTAAATTTTTCTCAAGGTATCTATAATAGATTTTACCCTATCGAGGATGTTATACCAAGGATGTTGCATATATAATGATCTTGCACTAGATCCAGCTTTATTTACTGCTCATGGTGAATATCAATTTGAGATTTATCGTCTTATGCGAGACACAATTCAGTAAGTCACATACATTTTATTTCTTACCTTTTTCTTATATACTGTTTGTTTGTACTCATATGTGTATTTCATATGTGCAGGAATGATTGGCGAAAATTTGAACCATATACAAATGTTTTGTGGTTGCATTACATTTTGGATAAAATGATTACTGCGGTAAGATACAAAAAGAAAAACTTGAAAGTTCACAAGCACGCTGTTATTAGATTAAAAGAATTTAAAGACATAATTTTAAACTATAATAGTGCATACGACTTTGTAATCAATTCTAATAGCGTCGTGTAACTATGATGCAAGCCCTTATAAAATGTTTCTATAATAAATCAAATTTTTTGAAATTTTCTAGATATTCTGTTATATATTTAGCTTAAGTATAGTTATATATATATATATTTACAAATGATTATTAAATTATTCTAATATTAAAATAAGAAAATTATGATATTGATATGACTCGTTTTGATATTTTACATACGTATTATATAATAATTGTTTACGATTAAAATTAATTCACATTCTTTGTTTCTTTTTTTAACTTCATATTTTCTTCATAGAATGTAGACATAAGAAATATATTTTCCATACTACAGTAATAAATATATATAATACTTTAGGAATGTTTTCTTTTATTGTTTTAAGATTATTATTTTTATATAATGAACTAATATCAGCTTATATATATATATAATTTTCTGTTTTTAATTCTTAATGAGATTACATTATAGATTTATGTGAATTAATTATGGAAGTTATAAAGTTATACGAAGTTCAATATAAATTTTACGTTCTTTTCATTATATTTCTGCTAATTAAAGCCGGTATTTTCTATTTGTGACTTCATAATTTGTTTTAAATTTATTTCAATTTCTTTGACATAATGCATTTAATGCAAACTCTCTGTCTAAAACATTTAAACTATATAAAATTACGCGGATGTAAGAGGAAAGAACGCTATTTTATTGCTTTAATTATTAAATATACAATGTATGCTAATGTACAATGTATTCTTTGCTTCCTGTTTCTTGCTTTTTATATCATACCTTTTTTCTTTTTTGCGACCGTTTTATCGACACACAAGTTTCTTTTCATATGTATATTCTTGTCTCTTCCGAAGTTCATCAACTTTTATATCGACCGACAGAAAGCGAAAAGTTGGGTAAGAGGCAAAAAAAACAAGTAATAAAAAGTAAGAAACAAGAAACCAAGAACACATTGTAGATTAGGCTTAGGTATTGGTAAACTCCTTCAGCAATAAAATTGTGATACAAAACGACGTATCAGTTAAGTGGAGCAAATTTATAAAGTGGCGGCAAAATTTTTCGCCAATCGTACATCCTTTGGCGTCTAAAAGACGTCTTATGTCTCAATGTGTTGTCTGGATATATATTGAGCTACACCAGATTTTATATTATATATATTACATTAGGATCATTACTGTGTGCTATTCTTGCATTCATATTTTTTGGAAACATTATTTATAGGATTCTGTGTATGCCATAAATTTCAATCAAAAAGGAAATTTCAAATAATATAAATATAATAATTGCATTTAATATTTAGAAAATAATGCAATTATTTATATTTATTATTCGAAATTGTCTGCTTTAATAAGGAAGATGAAACGTTAACTACTTAGACTCAATTTCGATATTAATAAATATACATCGATGTAATAATTGTTTGTATTTATTTTTATGTCTGCAGTACATCCCTCCCTCTCGCTTAATAAAGTAAAAAAAAAATGTATAAAATTCTTGGCAATTGAATTAATCAAAGTTAAATTTGCTCTTAATATTGCTTTGAAAATCCAAAATCAAAATTGAGTTATTTGCGCTGTTATTTACACTATAGGAAAAATTCATTCAACCATACTCGTGCATTACTTCCTGGCAACAATAATGTATATTTTGTGATTGTATAATAATTTAACAAAATTTATAAAATATATATTTTTCAACGGGATCTTTTTATTACTTTATATGCTAAAATTGAGACATTTAGCATTTTTAGCGAGAAAGGGACAAGCATTTCAAAAGCCCGCTGAAATCGAAATCTCCTTAAAATTTTTCATATATCTGAAATATATTCTAGTTTCTCAGTCTATAATATTTGAAAAGAGAACTTTAAACTTTTCAGATTTCACGAGATTTTATCAGAAATTATAAAATGAGAAATCTTATACTCAATAAAAAATTTTTCACACACACACACATGCATGAATATATTAACGTCAAAATGATATTAAAATGAATCAGAAATGATTGAAAAATGACTTTTAATGATCATTTCGGATCAGTACGTCATTTTGACATCATTTTGATATAATGACTTTTGTTGTTCTGCTTGGATATAAATGTATGTATAAATTAATATACATAAATGTATAAACGTTCATAAATATATTATAATTATATGTATATGAAATATGTCTATACATATACATACGTCCAAACATCCTTTTTTCATTTCTATAATTATATACTTTTCAACATAATAAAAATAATAGTAATAATAATGAGAAAACATTAAAAATGATTAAAAGGATAATTTTCACATTATATATTTGTTTTAGAAAAAATCAAGTTTAGAGAAATTTAAAAGAATTGCTCATATATACAATATATAATTGTTTAACATTAATAAACAACAAGGATGGAGTGATACCTAAGTGGCGTTCGAATGGGAATTTGAACGTAGCTTAATTAGCATGTCAGCATGGAATATAATCAGAAAATTCAGAAAAATCATGGAAATAATATGGAATATAAGAAATAAAAAATTCATGAGCATATAATAGCATGGAACAGAACCATAAATGTGCAGAAACCGTAACACATTATCTGTCGGAAGATGACTACGAAGTAATGCGCATGTTTTGTGCACATGGAGGCGCTGGTGGATGGAAGCAGACGGAAATCAGGAATCATCAGTGGATTAGTGGATGTTTCTTTCAAAACTTCTCTGTAACAAGTAACAGCTAAACAGCATGCAGCTACAGTATATGTAACCTGTAGCAGCCAGTTAACAGCGTTATTCGAGACTGTTCGAGACTATTGCAGACTATTCGAATGTACATTATATACAGGTTACATTTTCAAGAAGAAAGATACAACTTGTATTCGTATCAATCACGTGTCTTGATTAAATACAAGTTAAATGATGGCAAATAACAACAAGAGTACCTTTATTACCGTACCTGGCTTCTGTCCGGATTGTGGTTCAATTTTACCTTTGCTTGGGGAGAAAGGAGGAGTTACATGTTACACATGCAAAAGAGAATGGGGTGCTGAAGGTACCACTGTACGATAATTCAAAAAATTCTGCAAAACACTATGAGATTAAATTATTAATTTCTATGATTATTTTCCAGTTTTTGGCAATATGGAAATGATACATACGATCCATTTTAATACTAAGGATAGTTATGTGTCTGTCAAAGAAGAAGTTGATAGTGAAGATGACGCAGATGGACCAACAGTGGAGCGAGAATGTCCTCAGTGTCATAATGATAAAATGTCCTATGCAACATTACAATTGAGGTCTGCTGATGAAGGACAAACTGTATTTTTCACATGTACCAAGTGCAAGTGCGTATCTGTATATAGAAATTATTATTGGCTTAATATTCAGACATTACTTTTATATTAAATTAAGTTTTTATATTGCTAGTACTTTGTTAATGAATAAATCATTATTTGCAGATTCAAGGTAACAGAGAATTCTTAATATGGATTTAGTATAAAACTATATTTTATTTTATAAGAAATACTGTATAGAACATGTGATTCTTTTTTATTTTTCAAAAATAAAAGTTTACATTCTTGTACTGTATAGAATGATTAAAGAAATAAATTCTAACACTTTAGAGTATTTTTTATTTTATATTTTACATTTGACATCTATTTTTTAAAATAATAATAAAATATATTGCGATATTAAATATCGTAATACATATTATTATTATTTTATAAGAGAAGAAATACTTTAAAAAATATTTAAAGTATAAAATAATAATTTTTTCGCTTTTTATTTAAGAAGTTTTACAAATTACTCTTAACCAAAACATTGACCTCTGTTACACGGCACGCTTTACACCGAAGTTATAACATCGATATGAAACTGATCAATCATAGCTATTCCTCTGAAGAATGGAATGACTGATTGGCCAGTTTCATAACATCGATGTTATAACTTCGGCGTAAAGCGTGCTGTATAAACGTAATAATTCTTTGCAAGTATTAAACTTGTATTTTCCGTTTTCTAATTCATTTGTGTCAGAATAAGATTATTTCTTTGACTATAGAAACATGGACTCCTAATCCCCGCTTCTTTTCCTCTTGAAAGAAGCATAATGAACATCCCTTATCATATTACTATAGCTAGGCCAAGCTAGATCTTTTGCCCAAAACGCGGGAAATTTGAATGTCAATATCGGAGAATAAGTAGATTTAAGGAGAGATGTTGAATGTATTGCTGTCTCGATTTGTTCAGCTGCGTTCAATATCAATAGACATTGTAGCACATCCTCAGACTTCCTATCATTAACGACGAATCTCTTGATATGGTTCAATGAGCAGGTTCTAAGGGCGTTGATATCCTTGCCGAACGAATGAAAAATCCGCGAGTACCATCGGGTCCTGATGGCATTCTTGTCACATTCTCAGGCACATGCGTCATCGCGATGCTATTGTTACTCCTCGATCTATAGAATACATTCTGTTCCGAATTTGAGGAGCACAAGGATGATCTTCTAATGTTCATATCGAAATCGCGACTATATGTCGAGAGTCTTCTTGGTAATGGTCCACAATCGGCCGATCCACGACGATTTGCGATATAGCAGATTCCCCGGCATTCCATCGGAGGACCTGTGATAAATGATGAATTAATTGTATCATTTCGAATAAATATATATTGATACTTTGCATAATACGTAGACAAGTTTATGCTGTGGAATGTATGGTCGATGATTTCATCGTGACAATATCGTATATATACAAGAGATACATATATTATTACTAACCGGTGGAAGGACAGCAAGAGTAACGATGATTTTCATGATGATAGAAACTTTTTGAGTAACTTGGATGAAGAAAAGCTGTTTCGGAACCAGACGAACAGGTGGAATAACGTCTACCAGAGTCTGAGCTGGAACCGGAACAGGAAGATAGACGCCGAAACATAAAACCGTTCTCGGAACTGGATAGGGAGCAGGAAGACAGCTTACGAGATAAGCACGCATCTGATGATGGCATTCCTGCTATAAAAATATAAATGTTCTAAACGGCTTGTTCCATACGGGGCATCATTAATTAAAAAATTTAATAACATAAGTGAAAAAATTACATTCTCACTTGATCGATTTTATTGATATCTTTTGTTATTTATTTATTTTACATGTTTGATAAATTTAAAATCACTTGTATAACATTGAGACATAAAGATGTATTGCAAGAATTATAATTCTTAAAATAAATCCTACATAATCAATCAAATTTTTCTTTTCTTTAACAACAAAAATTTATCAAGACACCGATTGTTTTTGAGTTTCGTTCACTACTTACGTGCAAACCCGTGCACAGGTGATAAAAAAAGAGAATAAAAACAGGGAAAATGATTTCTCTTTGCTATGACAAAATTTTTATTTAAAATTTAATTTCAGAAAAATCTAATATCAAATGTCAAAAATGATAAAAAAATTGACGAAGAAAGATTGACTAGTCAATGAATTAAATTAAAATCAACGGTTAAATAGTTCGTCTGTGATATTCTGTATGTATAATATACAAACGATGTATTTTTTTTCTTACGACATGATACCTTGGAAAGGATAACTTGTATTATGGACGTGATACATCGGATATCCTTGAAAACCTCTTTTAAGCCTTACTCTCCCATCCTCGGGCTCAGATCCACTGGGACAACTCGATGAATTGTGATTATCTTCTCTTGTTCTATTTGGGATACATTTCTTCGTAGGCTGTTTCTTCTTCTTGTCAACCGAGTGACGTAATTCGAATACTTGTACGTCACCCAAGGCCATTTGTATGGCGATTCGCGCAGAAGCTGAGTCCGTGAATTCGATCACAGCATATTCTTCGATGGAGGCCCATTCCGGCCTTTTAGTGATTGCCTGTCGCACCTAAGTAACGGAGATTGTGAAAATTTATTTCTTACTTCAACATTGATAGATCTGTCATTAAATATTAAGAGTATTACGAAAGCGAGATTGATGCACGTAATCATCCGCGATTTATAATTATTTATATATATGTATGTATGTGTATACGAACAAAAATCTGTGTGTGTATACGTGTATGCGTATGCATATCTAATACATATACAATGCTGCAATATGATAATCCGGTAAATAATTTACATTTCTTCAAACTTGATGTTTTTTAAAATAAATAGTGTGAAAATTATCCTTTTAATTATTTTTAATGTTTTCACATTACTATATTATTATTTCTATTACACTAAAAAGTATAATTTTACAAAAGAAAGAAGAATGTATGAACATGTACGGGCATATTACATATATAATTATAAATGTTTATGAATATTTATGTATGTTATTTATACATGTTTATAAATGTTCATGCATAAAAATTTTTTTACCGGGAAATGCGATACTTATGTATATGTATACCAATAAATCTACTTGTTCCACGCGTGTACGACATTAAAAACATCCCAGCAATAAAAGGCCAAATTACTGTAACGTACGTACACGTTATATTATAGTTATATTGTTGAATGGGAAATTACATTACTAACATGTACATTACATGTAATTTGGTATTTGCTGGGATTTAATCTGTATAAATTACAAAGGAAAATTTCAAATCAATACATTATACATGATGTAATACATGGCATATACATCTTTTGCTAGTAATACAATTAAGAAAGACGTGATTTTCTAAAGACGTAAACAAAATAGAAAATATAAAATGCAGAAGAACTTGGTTAAAGGAACAGTTGACGTAACGAATGATCCAATCGAATAATCTCTTACTGCAGGAAACCTTACGTATCTTATGGATCAACTGTAGCTTGTTAACGGGGGGATATCATATAAAAGTTAATTGTAACATATATACGAACATTACATCACAGAGTATTAGTCCATGCCGTGATTATGTCATGGTAGAATGCAATTATGGAAAATTTGATGGGCGACAGGGAATAGAAATGGAAAATTTGATGGATGACAGGATGGAAATGTGGTAAACAAGCATTATCCATGTTACCGTTAACTATTATCATTAAACTGGGGCAAAGTTCCGATTTGTTGGATTATTGACAGTAATTGAGGGAATTGTAAGTTACAATTTGTAACACTAGGAATTACGTGAATTACATTAATTTATGTAGGGATAATTAGTACTCTTTCTCTCTCTTCTTATTTACGTTGCTTTATGCTCATTTTTACCTTATGTTCTCCAAAAACTGGTCGAAAAAGATAATAAAATAGCAAAGAAGAGAGGCACATGTGATGCTAACGATATAATTATATATTTCAAAATTATGTATCCCGTATCTTTATATATAAAACAGATTGTCTAAAGTTGCGAACATTCGAAATTCGCATGCATTTCTTAATCTTAGCGCAATAAGCGCTAAGATCCGAAAATAGGATTATCTCAATTGATTTAAATCTAATATAATCATTTAAATCTATTTGAAAATGCGTCTAAATGGAAAAACTGAATTGGGTAAATATCGCGTTGCAGAGCATATTCGAAATAGTAATGTTTTGCTATCCGTTATTCGTATTCGAGAATGTATATACATCTTGTTAAAAAGAAAAGGCGTTTTACCTCGGGAGGTACTGGACGTCCAGGTTTAAGCACCCTTATCAACGCTATTTCACCGCAAGGCTTAAAAATTTCAGCGACAGATTCGACCGTTAATTTTTCTACCGGTAATCCAGCTGCTAAAATGGTCCTGGAAGGAGCTGTCTGATCAAAATGTGGTAAAGGATTCACTCTACGCAGCTTAGTCCCTTGTGAATTAAGCTCGAGCTTTTTAGACCTCGTTAAAGCCGCTCCGACCACTCTCCAATCCCTGCTGAGATGTTTGACCTTTTTGAAGCTGGATATCAATTTAAGAGATACGTAGCCTTCTTTGTTCCTTTTCACGTGTTTCAATAAAAACGCATCCTTTATTATATTATCGTCAGAAAAGTAGTATTCCACTTGAGCGCATATTTTGTCGGCTAACTCATCATTCGGTGTCACGAAATCGTTAGTCGTTTTCTTAAACGTTGATTCCGTTGATTCTATTAAAGACTCCGACGATATAACATTCACTTGTTTCTGCTCTATCAGTTCTTTCGATGTAACATCATCCAGAGAATCCGCACCCGAATCTTGATCAGTATCACTCTTCTTTACAATCCTGATCTCGTTATCGTAATCTGACAAGTCGGCCTCATCGCTCTTGGATCCTCTTCGGTCGAAAGAAAGGCTTACGTCGCTGTCTACGGAGGAAATACTGTCTTTTGTTTCAGATTTCTTCATACGTGGAGGTGAGGACAATATATTGTTGATCTGCTCCTTTAAGTCTTGAGATACTTGAAACTCCATATTTTTATCAAAGTAGGGAGACTATATTTCAAAATTATAAGAAGGCAACTATATAGTTGGCAACTTTAACGCGTTGGTATAATTATTTTCTTTCTTCAAATTTTAACTATTTTTTTCTATTTTTACATAAAGAATATATGTATATGTCATTGCTAAGTCATTGCATTTTCTTTTTTCTAACACAC